GTACCTGCAGCCATGCAGGTAAGTATAGTGGCGGTGGCCCACCAGGGGTTAACCCTGGTGAACAGCAGCTCTGGTACTGCCCACCCCTGGCCCAAGCCCTCTCCCCCAGCCTGCTGCTGCAGCGCCAGGGGCCTGGGGCCACCTCTCCTCTGGCTCTGGGGCCATCCCGTGCTGGGGGTCGCAGGGAATGGGGGGGCTTGCTGGTCAGGGCTGCAGGGGGGGTACAGTCCCATCCTCCCTGGGCCAAGCCCGCTGGCTCTCTGGAGGCTGGGGGAGTCTGGGGGTGCTACCTTGGGGCAGGCAGGGGGCAAGGGGCAGGAGCCAGCAGAGGCCAGGGGGGACGGGGCTAGGGCCCTTGCAGCCCTGTGGCCTGGGGGTTGTCCCAGACCAGCTGGGTTTCGGGGTGGTAACACACTGGGGTGCCCCCGTGCGAGGGCTGGGCGCGAGGCCGGAGAGCCGGAGCGGGGGAGCCAGAGACTAGGTGTGAGCCGGGGACGGAGGATCGCAGACCCGAGAGGGGACTGCTCGGCTGTGTGCTATAGACCCCACACGCCCTTGCAGCCCTGTGGCCTGGGGGTTGTCCCAGACCAGCTGGGTTTCGGGGTGGTAACACACTGGGGTGCCCCCGTGCGAGGGCTGGGCGCGAGGCCGGAGAGCCGGAGCGGGGGAGCCAGAGACTAGGTGTGAGCCGGGGACGGAGGATCGCAGACCCGAGAGGGGACTGCTCGGCTGTGTGCTATAGACCCCACACTGCTACCCAGTCAGGGAGATTCCCCTTTCGCCCGCAGGGTGGGTGGCTTGGAGAGCCCAAGCTCTGCCGTCCCCGTGGTGGCAGCGGCACTGTGGAGTGGCAAAGGGGTTGGAATGGACGGTCCAGGGAGCCATGGATGAGCTGTTCTACTCCCCTGGGGTAGGGTGGCTGTCTGGGCTGCTCAGGGCTGGAAGCAGAGAGCCGAGGGCTTGTGCCCCCCATGAGGTGGGGCCAGGGGAGCTTGTTGTAAGGGCAGCAGGTACCATAGGGAGGGGTGAGCGGCTTTATTGAGAGGGCACCAGCCCTGCTGGAGCTAGCTGGCTACCCCTGGTCATGCTGTGCTGCTGGTGTGTGTGTGTGGGGGAAACCTGCACCCCTGGGCCGGGCCCCTCAGAGCCCCGACACCCCCGGGCCTGGCCCCTCAGAGCCCCGGCACCCCCGCCCCAGGCCCCTCAGAGCCCCGACACCCCCGGGCCTGGCCCCTCAGAGCCCCCGCACCTGGCCCCT